ATTCGAGAAGGTGGTTGAGCGGTCCGAATCTCGAGGTCACCACCTGGAAGTCGTGTCCACACAGCTCGAAGCCTTTACAGTGTCCGTGGAGCACTTCGAGGAATGGTACATCGAGATCGTGGAGGTCGTGGAGTCGAGGGAGGTGCTTTCTCTCGATGTTGAAAGGTAAAGGAAACGCTTGCTTGTATTCTGTTTTCACTCTTACATTTTCTCTATTTAAATGCCTTTTGGGGGATACACAAAAAAACATGTGTAGTGTGTTTACTATAGGATGAGATTTTTACCAATGTTTTTGTTCATATTTTCCAGCTATGCTCGCAAGATTGATGAGATTGCACGTCAACGTGATGCAAGAACTGGTGACTTTGATGGCATGATCAAGACAGGAAAGGAGCTTGTGTCGAAGAAGGATGTCACAGACACAGCACCTGTAAAGGACAAGATCAAGGTTAGTCATGCAGAAATTAGTCGTTTCAATTGAATGATTTAAGGAAATTATTTTTTCCTGTTATCAAAATAATGTTTACTTTGTGATATATACTACTATTATTAGCTTACCTTTAAGAAGTTTTTTCATTATTAGAATTTTGCACTTGCATAATGTTCGTGAAGTAAGAGGTATTGTATTTTGCTAATGTCAAAAGAATATAGTATATATTTAACAAGTGTATTTAACTTTTAATCAACAGAACCTAGAGGGCCAGTGGAAGGAGCTTAATGACACTCTGGACGAAAGAGCACGCAATGGCAAAGAGAGGTCAGAGCAGCTCCTCGCATACGAACAGCTGCGAGACCGCTGCACTCAGTGGCTCACCACCACAGAGAACATCCTTGATAATGCCCAGGCTGTTGGCCTTGAAACTGAGATTGTAAAGAGGCAACATGAGGAACTCAAGGTAAGTTATTGTAATCTAAAGAAAGCATTCTCTTCCTTTTCTAAAACTTAGCCACCGTATATGCCCACATTCACATTGTTGTGCCTGGTTGTTTATTTTATATGTAGTTGAATTATATCTGTTTTGAATAATTAATTTTCAAGGAACATAATGCTATATTTTCCCCAACGTCCAGCCACTTCACAAGGAATTCCGTGAATATGCTAGCACCATTGACAAACTCAATGAACTTGGCAATGCATACGATGCCTTGCTGCGAGGTGAGAGGCCAGAGAGTCCGACAAGACGTCGATCATCTGTCACACCAGCCAAGCGTCCCTCTATCACGTCGCCTCTGAAATCCCCAGGTAGGCATTGCCCTAACTTGAGATCATGCTCTTCAGTCTGTAATTGGAATGTTGAGAAGAGAAACAAGTTTTGTGTGTGGTTCAGAAAGGGACAGACAAATGAGTTTGTTTTTGTCTTTCTATGGGATGGGGGGATAAGTGTAGTCATATTTATTGGCTTTTTTCTGATGCTGTGAATTTAGCTTTAACATTGCTGTGCATGTTTGTGTTAGGTTTTTGTGTGAAGCATTCATTTGAAGGTACCAATATTTTATTTTTTTGCATTGCTGGTAGAAGAATTTTAAATGAAAAATTGATAAAGAATATTTACATTGATATTTTATATTTTTGGTGCTAAATGAATGCATGTTTTTATATGTTGTGCTGAGCAAAAGCAGTTGGTTGTAGCACATTCTGCATTTATGAATGATGCTTGCACATATTTGCTTTTTGTAAGAATTTGCTATTTTTATTTATTTTGTTCAGCAGTTGTATCTGCAGTTGATTTATTTTTAGACCTATTTTTATTCTTGATTATTTTTGCACAGCTATTGATAAAAAAACAAACAAACAAGTACAGTTTTTATTTTTTGTTGCTTTTTATGTATTTCTAGCTTACAGCTTAAGAATTTCAGTCGTGAGATTGACTGCTTGAGACAGCCCAATGATTGAGTCCTTTATAGACTTTTATCAGAAATCAGTAATGCAATTTTTTAAATATCTGGTAGAATAAGAAATTAAAAGAAGTGATCCTTGGGTTGTCTCATTTAATTTCAAAATCTACTTTACTGTTTTCTGAGCATTTTATTTTGCTTGTATGAATGCTGCATTTTGTTGGGGTTTGTGTGTGTTTGTAGTGAGGCGAGTGTCACAGGACGCACGTAGTCCCTCACCCACGCAGAAGTTCATGGGCTTCAACGGGTCTGGCCCCATGTCACCCATCCCTGGTGGTTATGCTAGCAGGCGCACATCACAGGAAGGATTCCACCTCGATGGTTAGTCAGCAGTGCCTGTGGTTATTGCATGTATTGTATTGGGGAAAATCTACAAGGTTTGTTTTGGAAGAAATGCTTGGCAGGAGGAGATTTGCCTTTTGAAGATGTTGATGGAATGGTTTGTAGACTAGAAGTCCAAGATGAAGATAATTATTCAGTGCATGGAGAGAAGAGGATGGAAATCTGGTTATGGTTTATGTTTTTATAAATATAATAGGAGTAATGCCTTTTTTCTTGGTACTTTTACAGATATGAGTCCTATCCAGAAGGAGTTGATGCAGGTGAACAACCGTTATGAAATGATTGGAATGAGATTAGGTGACCGTCAGAATGACCTAGATACAATGAAGGAGGAGCTGAAGAAATTAAGTGACAGCATTCGCTCTCTCAACACTGTCTTGGATAAGGCAGAGCGCAGCATGCCAAGAGATGCTGTGCCCACTACAAAAGAGGAGGCAGATAAACATAATAGGCAGTGCAAGAGCATCCAAGATGACCTGCTAGAGAAACAGCCTGCCCTTGATTCACTGAAGAGCCAGGTCATTGAGTTGATCAAGAAGAGGCCTACAGCTCCTGGTGCTGATATTTTACAAGATCAGTTTGACCTTGTAAATGATCGTTATAAGGAGCTACAGGGTCGCCTCAAAGATCGTCTCAGCTTCCTAGAACATACCAAAGACTTCCTTGATAGCCATGATGCTCTCAACAACTGGCTTAATTCAAAAGACAAGATGATGACTGTCTTGGGCCCAATTGCTTCTGATCCTCGCATGGTCCAGATGCAGGCTCAGCAGGTGCAGGTGCTCAGGGATGAATTCCAGGCACAGGAGCCAAAGCTTAATGATCTGAATGATGCTGGAGACAAGATCATCAGTGTCTGTGAGCCCAACTCAATGGCTGGAAAGAAGATCAATGACAAATTAGATGCCATTAACAACAAGTGGACTGAGCTTATTGGCCAGCTGGATGCTCGAGACTCTGCTCTTAATGCTGCATCTGATGCTAGCACAGATTTCTACAACAATTACAACAAGCTGCATGATACCTTGCTCAAGCTGGGTGAAGATTTTGATGAAGTTTCAGCCAGTGGTGCCGATTCAGCTCAGCAAATTCAAGCTGTGCAAGATCTTGAGAAAGGTTTGGAGAGAGTACGTGCTCCTCTTATTGATCTGGAGGGCTTGGGTGAACACCTAGTCTCTATTCTCTCTGATCCATCTTCCAAGTCTGATATCAAGTCTAAGGTCACCCAACTTAACAAAATGTTCAATAACTTGGAGAGGAAACTTGGTAACAGAAAGTCAGAGTTGGAAGCCTCCCTCAGAGATGAAGAAATGTTTGGCCAGTCATGCCAAGACATCCAAGAATGGTTGGCTGACCAAGTGGCTCATCTCAAGGATAAACTTCTGGTTTCTGCAGACCGAGATATTCTCTCTCACCAGGTGAGTGACTTTGAGCCAGTCTACAAGGATCTGATGGCCAAGGAACATGAAGTCATTATGATGATTAATAAGGGCAAGGAAATTGTTGCCAAGTCATCAAGAAAAGACTTGAACAGACAGTTGTCATCAACTCTTGATGCAATCAAAAATGAGTGGGACAATGTACGCAAGACTGCCGTAGAGCGTCGATCCAGACTTCAGAAGTGTATGGATACTTGCAATAAGTTCCATAACATGCAAGAGAAATTCAACCCATGGCTAGACAAGGCTGAAGATAAGGCAAGAAACATGGATCCAATTGCATTCACAAAGAAGGCCATTGACAAGCAGATCAAGGAGATCCAAGCGTTCAAGAATGATGTGTCCCGTCACAGTGGAGAATTTGAGAATAACAAAACAGCAGGAGATAAGCTTGTTGGGTGCACTGACACTGATCATGATGGAGTTCATGATGCCCTTGGCATTATGAAGGAGCGCTGGGACAACCTCAATGCTATTGTCATGGCAAGAGCACAAGATCTTGATGATGTTTCAGCAACATTGGCAGATTTCAATGAAAAGGCAAGAGACCTGGACCACACACTCCAACGCTGTGGGGACAAACTTGCCTCTCTTGATACTTTAGGTGGAGGTGGCAAAGATGCCAAATCACTGGAGAGAATGAAGGCATTGCTTGATGAAACCAATGCTCTTGGTAAGCAGGTTGACCATGTAAGACAGAAGGGTGAAGATCTGTGCACTGCTGCTGACTCTGCAGGATCAGATGCTACCCATATTCAGGATGAAGTTGAAAGACTGTCAGACCGTTATGGTGATCTAAAGGGTAAGCTTGAGGATCGTTGTCATGATTTGGAAGAAGCTTCCCAGGCTGTTAACCAGTTTGGCGCTCTTGTAAAGAATGTCGGTCAAGAACTCACGGCATTAGATGATGAAATTGACCGTATGGCCCCAGTTGGTAGAGACATCAAGACTGTTACAGGACAGATTGATCAGCTACAGAGCTTCTTGACCAAGGTTGACCAGAAGGCAGATGAAATTGAAGATGCAAAGGCAGCTCTGGAGGATCTTGTTGCTCAAGGGTTCACAGGTAGTAATAACCGCACTGCTGAGGATCAGATTAAGCAGCTTGGTCGCCAATTGAAGAAAATCCAAGATCGTTGTGATGTCCGTGGCAAGGACCTTGACACTGTTTTGAACAAGCTAGAAAACTTCTACCAGAAATACAATGTGGTAATGGAGGAAATCAATGAAACGGACAAGGAAGGTGAAGCATTTAAACCAGTTGGTGCAGATGTTGACACAATCATTGCTCAACAAGAGGAATTCAAAAGATTCAAGGGCAAACACATTGAAGCTCTAGGAAAGCAAGTAACTGAATGCAATAAGCTTGGTCAGGGGCTCATTCAGAGTGCTGCATCAGGTGTTAATACCCATGATTTAGAGGATGATATTGATGGTATGAATGATCTCTGGAATAAACTGAAGGAGATGATTGGCAACCGAGAGAAGGCTCTGGATAAGGGCTTGATGCAATCTGGCAAGTTCCAGGATGCACTGGACAGTATGTTGCAGTGGCTTGGCAACTTTGAAGAGATGATGGAAAATCAAGCACCGATCTCAGGTGAATACTCTGTGGTGAAGGCTCAAGCTCAGGAGCAAAAGTTCTTGAGAAAGATGCTTCTTGATAGACAGAATGAGATGCAGGCACTCTTGTCCATGGGACGTAGCTTGGCTGCAGATCTAGAACCTTCAGAGAAGGCCAATGTAGAAGGACAGTTGGATGATTTGCTCAACAGATTTGATGATGCCAATGCCAGATCACAGGAGCGCATGGAGGCTCTTGAAGAAACACTAAAGGTTGCCAAGGAGTTCCAAAACAAACTGAACCCCATCACAGAATGGCTTGACCGCACTGAAAAGAAACTCAAGGAAATGAGCACAGTGCCATCAGATGAAGAAAAAATCCAGAAACTTCTTGATGAGCACGATAACCTTCATGATGAAATCCTTGGCCAGAAGCCTGCATTTGATGATCTTACTGATGTTGCTACAGCCCTCATGAACCTAATTGGAGATGATGAAGCTAATGCATTGGCTGACAGGTTGCAGTCGACCACAGACCGCTATGGCCAGCTTGTAGAAGACTCAGAAGCACTTGGCCGTCTTCTGCAAGAATCAAAGGTGGGTCTGCGCCATCTTGTTCTGACCTATGAGGACTTGCTCTCATGGATGGATGAGATGGAAGCAAGGCTCTCCAAGTATCGCATCCTTTCTGTGTTTGTTGAGAAGCTCTTGGAGCAGATGGATGAACTTACAGATCTGGGTGAAGAAGTTGTATCTCATGAAAAACAGGTTTCAGAGGTAATGGAAGCTGGCTCTCAGCTCATGAAGCACATTTCCAGTGATGAAGCTCTTCAGCTGAAGGATAAATTAGACTCTATCCAAAGACGGTACAATGATCTTAGTGCCAAAGCAACTGACCTTCACAAGTCTGCCAATGAAGCCTTGCCTTTGGTTCAACAGTTCCATAGTGCTCATGATCGTCTAGGGTCATGGATGCTGTCTGTTGAGGGACAACTCCAGAGCATGGACTCCTCAGGTCAAGGACTGTTGGAAGAAGAGATTGAGAGGTTAGCTCAAGAGATCCAAGAACATCGCCCATTGGTAGAAGCTGTAAACTTGGTTGGACCTCAACTTTGTCAGATCTCTCCAGGTGAGGGTGCATCAAACATCGAAACACTTGTCACTAGAGATAACAGGAGGTTTGAACAGATCTGTGAACAGATTCAGAGAAGGATGGAGAGAATTCATATGTCCAAGCAGAGATCACAGGAGGTCACACATGACATTGATGAGCTGCTTGACTGGTTCCGTGAGGTAGAAGGTCAGGTCAGGGAAGCAGAACCTCCAAGTGTGGATCCTGATGAGATTCGAATCCAATTGAAGGAGCACAAGGCTTTGAATGACGATGTTGCCAGCCAGAAGGGTAGAGTGCGTGATGTCCTGTCCAATGCTAAGAAGGTCTTGAGGGAAGCGCCACAACATGAAGACACAAGTGAACTGAGAGAGAAGATGGATGACCTCAAGGAGACCATGGAATCTGTCTCTAAGCTCTCATCAGATAGGCTCTCCACCTTGGAGCAAGCTCTACCTCTGGCAGAGCACTTCTTTGAGACTCATCATGAATTGGATGACTGGCTGTCAGGCATGGAGAATGAAGCTATGGTGATGGACACCCCAGCACTGCGTGCTGAACAGATTATCCGTCAAATGGAGAGAAATAAGAATTTCTTGCAGTCCATTGCTGACCACAAGCCATTGCTTGACAAACTGAATAAGACTGGTGGTGCCCTTCTTAAACTTGTCAATGAAGAAGATGGCAATAAGATTCAAGACCTTCTTGAAAGTGATAATGACCGTTACAATGCTCTAAAGAATGCACTTCGTGAACGTGGACAAGCTCTTGAGGATGCTCTTCAAGAAACCAGCCAGTTCTCAGACAAGTTGGATGGCATGTTATCTGCTTTGGCTGAAACTGCAGATCAGGTGAAGAATGCTGAGCCCATCTCTGCTCATCCTGAGAAGATCCATGAACAAGTGCAGGAGAACAACAGTATCATTGATGATCTTGACAGGAAAGAGACAGCATTTACTGCTGTTAAAGCAGCTGCAGAAGATGTCATCAACAAGGCTTCACGCAATGACCCTGCTGTCAAGGATATTAAGAATAAGTTAGATCGTCTGAACAAGTTGTGGGATCATGTGCAAATGGCAACTACCCAGCGTGGCCAGTCTCTGGAAGATGCACTTGCAATGGCTGAGAAATTCTGGGAAGAACTACAAGGTGTCATGGCTGCCCTTAAGGACCTGCAAGACACACTGAAGGCCCAAGAGCCAGTAGCTGTAGAGCCTCAGGCAATCAAGCAACAAAGAGATGAACTCTCACAGATCAAGACCAAGATAGACCAAACAAAGCCAGAGGTGGAACAAGTTCGCCAGACTGGACGAGATTTGATGAATCTCTGTGGAGAGGCAGACAAGCCTGAAGTTAAAAAGAACATTGAAGATCTGGATTATGCTTGGGATAATGTCACAGCTTTGTATGCCAGGCGAGAGGAGAACTTAATCGATGCCATGGAGAAGGCTATGGAATTCCATGACACACTGAGGGTAAGTCTATATGCAGGTTATCATTTGGCATAACAAGTATGAAATTGAATGTATTTGCTTTTCATATGTCACCTAACCATCTTTGTACTGATATTCTTAAATTGTGCAATTCCAGAACATGCTCGAGTTCTTGGAGAAGGCAGAAGACAAATTCTCAGGAATGGGTGCTATTGCTGGAGACATTGAAGCTATCAAGGGCCAGATTAACCAGCTGCAGAAGTTCAAGGATGAGGTTGATCCACACATGGTCAAGGTTGAGGCCCTGAACAGGTATGACTTAAAGCAAGCTGTGTAAAAGATATTGCCTCTGTGAATAAGGCTGAATTTTACAATCCATAACCAATAATTTTAAGAAATGAATTATTTTAGTCTATTGTAGATATGCTATTTGATAGGATAACCTATTTTGTCCTGTTATGCATTAGCAGACTTTGCTACATAATTTTAAACATTACATTGATATACTTATGAAAGAATCTTTCCAGACCAGTATATATGTACAATTATCCTTATTGAGCTATTTGTCTTTTTCACATCCATTCATGGTTTAACTATCACCAGGAGTCTAAGAAGGCAAGTTAGGGTTATTTTGATGTGTTGCTTTCAACTAGCAGGCATATGAAGCTTAGTAGAGCCAGTGATTGTTACATCCTTGGTTTGATAAAATCACATATGCTGATTTGCTTATGCCTGATATGTTATTGTTATTTTTTTACACCATACTTCCACATGATTGTGTTAACAATGAAGAAATGCACTGACGTCTAGCACACAAGTTTTTGGTCTGACTTTAGTATAGTTGTAGCTACAAGGACCAAATTAATGTTAAATGCTCACAGCTTTCATTTAATTTATTGTTTATTTGTTTTATGCATGTGATATTCAATAAAAAAAAAAGATAAGAGACCAATAGATACACTATTTTATGCTAGTATATGTTGCATGAATGAGTTTATTACCATTAATGATAAATTTATCCTAGATAAATAATAGTATTATGTTGTGTGATGCATTTTAGAACAGATACATCAAAGTGCAAGTTTCGAATAGAAAAGGATGTGTGAATGAACAAAATCAGTATTCAGTTTTGTTAAAGATTAGAATTAAGATGGCAGAATCGGTAATTGAGGTTGAAAATACATTCCGTTTGGATATTTGAAGCACATTGAGTGTCAAATATTTTTATATGCACATTAATCCTATTCAATATTTAACAGACAAGCTCAAGAACTCAAGGAACGCACCACTCCTGATCAGGCTGCTGCTATTATGGAGCCTTTGGGAGAAGTCAACCGACGATGGGATGAACTCCTCAAGGGTATTGTAGAAAGACAGCGTGACTTGGAATATGCCTTGCTCAAGCTTGGCCAATTCCAGCATGCCCTCAAGGAACTACTTGTTTGGATCGAGAGAACCACCAAGAACCTGGATGACTTGAAACCTGTGTTTGGAGATCCACAGGTCATCGAAGTAGAGCTTGCCAAGTTGAAGGTGACTATTAATGACATCCAAGCTCATCAGTCAAGTGTAGACACCCTTAATGATGCAGGACGGCAGCTGATTGAAGCTGATAAAGGCTCTGAAGATGCTTCCAACACCCAGAAGAAATTGTCAGAATTGAACAAGAAGTGGAGTGAACTGCAGGACAAGGCTAGCAGCAAACAGAATGACTTGGAAACTGCATTGAGGGAAGCTCAGATCTTTAGTGCAGAAATCCAGGATCTCTTGCTCTGGCTTGGAGACATTGATGCTGCATTGTCAACCTCTAAACCTGTTGGTGGTTTGCCAGAAACTGCAAAGGAGCAATTGCTTCGTTTCATGGAGATTTATGATGACCTAGAGGAGAACCGTTCCAAGGTTGAGGGTACACTTCAGCAAGGCCAGGAGTACTTGAAACGTTCTCGTGAAGGATCTGCATCCAATCTGAACCATAGTTTAAGAACTCTAAAGCAACGTTGGGAAAGTGTCATGAACCGTGCTAATGACAAAAAGATCAAACTAGAAATTGCTCTTAAGGAGGCCACTGAATTCCATGATGCCTTGCAACAGTTTGTCGACTGGCTAACAGAGGCTGAGAACTTCTTGAATGGCCAACAGCCAGTTTCTCGTGTTCTGGATATTATCCTCCAACAAATTGAAGAACACAATAGTTTCAAGAAGGATGTTACTGCTCATCGTGAGGTAATGCTTAATCTGGATAAGAAGGGAACTCATCTCAAGTACTTCAGCCAGAAGCAAGATGTTATTTTGATTAAGAACTTGCTTGTATCAGTTCAGCACCGCTGGGAAAAAGTAGTGTCCAAGGCAGCTGAGAGAACTCGTTCACTCGACCTTGGGTTCAAGGAAGCCAAGGACTTCCATGATAATTGGAATGAACTCATATCCTGGCTCACTGATGCTGAGAATACTTTGGATGAGCTTGCATCCAATGTGGGCAATGACCCAGAGAAGATCAAGGCTCAAATTGCTAAGCATAAGGAGTTCCAGAAGGCCCTTGGTGCTAAGCAGCCATCATATGATGGTACAATGAAGCAGGGTCGAAGTCTGCAGAACAAGGCACCAAAGACTGATGAAGAGACACTGAAACAGATGATGGCAGATCTGAAGAACAAATGGAATAGTGTGTGCCAAAAGAGCGTAGATCGCCAGAGGAAACTTGAGGAAGCTCTTTTGTTTACTGGTCAATTCAAGGATGCCATCCAAGCTTTGTTGGACTGGCTCAAGAAGGTGGAAGTTGGGCTTGTGGAGGATGGACCAGTTCATGGAGATCTGGATACCGTTATGGCTCTTGTGGAGCAACACAAAGCTTTCTGTGCTGAAATGAAGAACAGGTCAGCTCAGGTTGAAAGTGTACGTCGCACTGCTGATGATCTCCTTGTCAAGGCTAGTGCTGAAGATGCTGCTACCATTAAAACACAGATCATTGAGTTAGTAAGCTCATGGGAGAAGGTTGAGAAAGCCACTGAAGTTCGCACACTGCGTTTGGAAGAGGCTTTACAGGCTGCTGAAAGATTACACAAGGTTAGTGTATGTGACATTTTTAGAAAGTGGAACAAATTTTGTCTAAGTATACTTAATGTATCCTTGGAATATGTATTATGAGTTGATTTAATTGTTTCAGGTTGTGCACATGCTATTGGACTTAATATCCCTGCACACATGCTGATTGGCTGTCTGATGCTGAGATGAAACTTCGATATGCTGGCCCCTTGCCAGATGAAGAAGAAGAAACAAGGCGACAGATTGCTGAACATGAATCCTTCATGGCTGAACTGGCGCAAAAGGAGAAGGAGAAAGATGACACCATTGCGCTGGCTGAAGATATCCTTGCTAAGGCTCATCCTGATGGTGTAGCTACTATCAAGCACTGGATTACAATTATTCAGTCGAGATGGGAAGAAGTCATGGCTTGGGCTAGGCAGAGAGAAACCAGATTGTCTGATCATCTCCGAAGCCTCAGTGATCTTGCTGGACTTCTTGATGAATTGATGCGTTGGTTGATCCAGGTAAGGAAAGTTTTTGGTTATGACAGATCTAAAGCTGCTCCTACAAAGTCTATAATTTTGCTAAATCAGTTCATTTTATGATTGTGAGATTCAAAAATGCCTATTATCTCTTTAGGCTGAGAACAATTTGACAACCTTGGAAGCTGAACCACTGCCAGATGACATCCCAGCCATTGAAGGCCTGATCACTGACCACAAGGAATTCATGGATGAGATGCAGAAGAAGGAACCTGATGTTCTAAGTATCTGCAAGCCAACCAAACCGAGACCTTCACTCTCCAACCAGGGCAAGAAGCGCTCTAGAGCATCCCTTGGGTAAGTTGTTGTATACAAATCATTAGAAGTGTTTCTCTTCAGGAGGAATGAAGCTTATCTTTTGTGGGCTTTTCTTCACTTTTTTCCATCCTACAGAGTTCTTTGTGAATGTTACCATAGATAAATTGCAAATCTTTCTGGTAGCACCAACAGATTTTATATGGGTGTCCTTTTTCTTGATATTTGGAACATAAATGTTTGAAGATGAACACTATTCATGCATGTGAATGTTTATTTGTCAAATCTAGTTTTTCATAGATTAGTGGTTGTTCTTGTTACAGTGTCCAGTTATGTTCTTGCACTTTCTCTGGTTTATAGTCCTACCTTGTAGCTTATGAATGTCTCATGATTCACCTTTTTTTATGCTTTTTGCATGTATGTTAAGTTTTTTATATGAAAATAGATTTTTAATACAAATTGAATGACTTTATCAAAACAAACAGTGGATGTGGCATCTGCAGGAATGATTTATCTACCAGCTGGCCATATCTCACTTTTGGCTACCCCTAACCCACTCCAACCCATCCCCATAAAGAAAGTCAGATCAAACTGTATTTAATTTCTAATTTTCATTTAAAAAGTTAACACAGTGTAGATGTCTTAGTTCACAAAGAGAGTTCTTGTCAGTATTGCTTCAACCTGCACTGTGCATGTGTTGACGTGACTTGTATTGCAGTCGTGAGAGTGTGAGCCCAGGAAGAGAATCCTCGCCAGAATATGATTATCCATCTCGTCGTTCAAGGTGAGTTTTTAAAAGAATAAAAATGCTTTTGTGTTATGAAAACAAGTGGAATTCATTTTATTGCAATGTAGTAATTTGCACAAAATTCAAAATATATTTGTAAATTTTGAATTGTAATAAAATGAGTTACCCTTGACCATTCTGATAATGAATGTGGAAGAGTACAATTGTAATGGAACATTTGCATGTTGCACAATTTGGGTAGTGTGGCGTTTACTAGTGTGCTGCTATAAGGATTTGTCTGCAGTAGTGTTCGGCCCCAACAATTTTTACGATTATTTTGTTTTCATTTTTATTTTGTAGCCGTATCAGCCCCGATCGCGAATCGTCACCAGGACCCAAATCGCGAAAGTCCAGGTAAAAATGACATTCCACTGCTGCGCTAATGCTTAATGAATTTTTGCAGTTATTTCCCAATTAACACTGATAATCGACATCCTTATAACAGAAGACCAAAGCTTAATAACCAAAAGTTTTATGTCATGTCTTTTGCAGATTGTAAACAGATCATGTTTTTCATGTAACCTTTTGTTGATATTTTTGTTGTCATTGTCTATCAGATATATTGTTTGTCTTTTTCTGCATACTATGGCTATCTTAGTAGTAAAATGAAAAACGCTACATCGGTGTTTCTTGTTATTTGTTAGAACTGATACAATTACAATGATCAGTGATGAAGGGTCATATTGGAAAAGACAAATGATTTTTATATTTACACTAACATTAATTGTAAATAGAAACCTTTGCTTAAACTGTAGTAACAACATAGAAAAGAAAAAAAGAAAAAAAGAAAAAAAAAAAAGATTTTATATTTGTCACTGTATACATGTATGGTAGTTCATTGATCATTAACAAGTATTGAGTTTTGTTGTAGAATTTTTTAACACGAATGCATGATATGACTGCAAGGTAGAATGTTGCAATTTTTTTCGTCCCTTGTTTTAACTAAGTGATTTGCTTTCATTAGCCGCGCATCACCTGCTCGTGAGATCACACCCACTCGGGAATACCCTCGGCCCTGGATGTTTGGAGCAAGGTATACTACAGTTATCGAGATTGATGCTTAGTCGTTTGAGGCTGATATTTTTATTTTATATATGTGTATATCACTGCATACATTTTGATACGATTTACATGTACACATTTTAACGCAACCAAGCTGTTAGGGATAGGGTTTTACCTTAATCGACCCGTAACATGAGGATATATGGATAATATTTAATAATCCTCCACTACTATTGTGATGCCTTAATACAAACGTTACCATTAGAACAACACCACCCCGAGAGTTATCACCCGGAGCTGACCGAGAAAGAGAATGGCCTCTTTCACACTTGCGCTTTGCCACGTCCACACCAACGCCTGCTGGTGCTACTACTGGTACTGCAGGAGGAAGGAAGAGCAGGTTAGCAGCGCTGAGACAGCTGCCAAACCTTAGATTTTTCTCTGATAACTTTTGCTACTTCACTGGCTAAATAATATATCGGCTAATACCTCACTCATGAACATGGGAGGTTTTCAGTAACTTTCGAAATTCTAATAACCAATTAAAAAAGAATTAAAACATTCTTCTTGGTTATTTATACAAGTTTACCCACTAACCGTCTTCAGTTACTTTTATTTTTGCTTTTTAGAATGAATCGTAGCCTTTTTTCACATCTTTCACCTGAAAGCACTCGGAGTACGTGAATTGATTTATTGACTCTCGTAGCTCATTACTAAATTTTTCTTTTTTAGTTGTAATTGAGTTCTAATTTGAAAGAAATCCTTTGCAATCCTTCCCTTTTTAACATAGCTCCATTTAGTTTTATTATAATTTTTCTTTAATTTTTTCCTCTAGTAACAATAACCACTTGCTCTACAACACAATAAACACATTTAGCTTAGACATATCTTAGGTAATTTGATGATCCACCACCAAGTGTTCTGTTGTCCTTTGATATAATACACTTTTTTCTCTTTCAGCTCTCTGCCTGACAGGCGTTTTCTGACTAACCGGCAGCAATTTTTTTCCTTTTTTTGTATGTTGTATTTTTTGTATAATAATCTAGCCTGTTGCCTCTGAAGCCTTTGTAGTGGCATGATCAGAATGGCAAGCCCTTTTATACCCTTTTTTGTTTTTATTTGCATATTATATATTTTAATATAAACATTTTTGTTATGGTTGATGTGCTTGAGAGTAGCAAGCACATCTGGCATCATTTTACGAGAATCCGAAAGTCTAAAAGGGATTTCTGTTTTATGGAAAACTATTTATTAATCATGAATATTTTCCCAACAGCAAGGCCAGTGTGAGAGATGAACCTCAGATCAAGAATCCTCATGCTAGAGCATTGTGGGAGAAGTGGCAGCATGTTGGCTTCATGGCATGGGAGCGCATGCGACGTCTCTATGACAAACTCAACTATCTTCAGGAGCTTGAGAAACTTAAGAACTTCTCCTGGGAAGAATGGAGAAAGAGGGTATGTTCTGAGAATTTTGTAAGCTGGTATATAATAAATTATACACATAGTATAATGCAACAATGTTGATATAGAAGACTATAGGAACCCTACATTATATTGATCTTTGCAAGTGAGTTTGCCAATTGTATAATTTTTTTTTTTTTTTTTTTTTTTTTTTTTACTTTTTCTACCACAGTTTATGAAGTTCATGAACCACAAGAAATCTCGTGTGACTGATCTGTTCCGCAAGATGGACTCTGATAATGATGGAGCTGTGCCAAGAGAAGACTTCATTGATGGAATCCTTAAGACCAGTTAGTTTCTCATTTTCAAATGTTTTTATTTAGTTATGTTTACATATTATTTTTAAATGAAGTGATTGAGTTATAAATGTTTGACTGACATTCACTGATGCTTATTGAATGTAAATTTACTTATTACAGAGTTCCCCACAAGCCGTTTGGAGATGGGAACTGTTGCCGATATATTTGACCGCAACCAGGATGGCTACATTGACTACCAAGAGTTCATTGCGGCGTTACGACCTGACTGGGAGCGCAAGGGACCCTTGACTGATGCAGAAAGGATTGATGATGAAGTGCAGAAACAGGTTTCCAAATGCACCTGCCGACAGAAGTTCCGTGTGCACCAAGTAGGAGAAGGCAAATATAGGGTAAGTTACTTTATTAAGGACATTTATTCCTGTGTTGATACTGATATTTTTTCATTCATAATATTTACATTCTTATGTATATAGATTAAAAGTTTGCTGTTGAGTTGTTAAGCATTGATACTAATAGAAATATCTGTACTAGTTTGGAGACAGTCAAAAGCTACGTCTGGTTCGTATCCTGCGGTCAACTGTCATGGTTCGTGTGGGCGGTGGATGGGTGGCACTTGATGAATTCCTTGTGAAGAATGACCCATGCAGAGGTATGTATGAGTGTTTTATGATATGCTTAATAGAAGTGACATTACCCATAGCATATAAAATGAGCTAAGAAAAAAAGGAAAAGAACTATGTTTATTTCTTTGGAAACTAGAGGCTAAGATACATTGTAGATGTATTCAGCTGAGATATCTGTTTGAAGGATGTTGATATGTTTTAAAAGAGGAAATCCAATCAAAATTCTTTTTCTGTTTTATAATAAGAGTATCCTTGTAAAAGAAGAAGAAAAAAGAGAATTACATTATTGTTTACTATTGAAAATGTACTTATCTTGATCTGGCAAAGGGTTATTGATTATTAGTAGAATATGGATTGATCTTTCCTATTCCTTTGCACGTAAAATGATCTTAGTCATTTGCATCTTTGTTTATGATGTCTAATTGAACTTTCTCTCAGTCTGTCTCTTTCTCAAATGATCATAGATATTTATATGGTAAATGATATCTATTTTTGTCAGTCTCATAAATGTTTATCTTAGTTTCATATCTTGAATTAATTAAATTGTAGATAAGCTATTCCGAGTGCAGTGTTTTGCGTGTTGTTAATCCTTACGGCAAGTGGTTGTTGGGGGTGTTTTACTAGCTGCCATATTTGGATGCAAGGTGATAAATCCTCTTAAATAAGTAAGCTGAAAGCAAATATATTGTCATTATGTGCAATATATGTACCGGTTCTTGAACTACATATGCTCCATTACCAGTTCAATCACAAGAGTTTTGACAACTTGAATGATGAAATGTACTTACATTGATGTAAGCCAGCAAATCACATAATCTGCCTGTAGCCTCTGCCAGCTAAGCTTGTTTGTAGCTTACCACGCTCAGAAGCCTGCGTAGACATAGGAGAAAGTAAATTTAGTTAGATAACACAGAAATTCAATAGCAATGTTTGTTATGAGATTAATGATATGTATTCTTATTAGTTTACCATATACTAATACAGAATTGGATGGCATTTATCTCTTAACAATTACCTATTAGCATGTGTCATTATAATGCTGACATGTTTATACATATACATATTCTGTGTAATATATATATATATATATAAGGAATTAGCAAAATTCATGTTTGCAGCTGTTTATACTAATAAATGGAATGTGAATAACAAACATATTAACACAATATGCAAGTTCAAAGTAACAAAAGAAATGGAAGAAAGCATATTTTACAAGTAACTGCAAGAGTTTTTGCATCAGAGCCATTAACCAATTAACTCTTTGTTTCTCTTTCTCTCTTTCCCAATTCCTCCAAACCTTTCATCCCTGTTACCAAATAACCTTTTAACCTGCCTTTCCTTGACATCCCCAACCCATTGTGCATGCTTCTTTGCTGGGGACTTCACCAATGGTATTTGCCTTTGTGCACTGGGTACATCACATTCAATATCGGAAATCATCGTCAAAATGCAAATGCATATATAAAATGGTTTACCCTGTGACATCGACGCTTGCTCTCCATCGCTGTGTCCAATCTCCCTCCATCATGCTTTGCATTGTTTTATGGTCTGCTTGGACACTTTAGTATGTCCATCTATACCTGAGTTAGAGCAGGTTGGAGATTTGGAACTACATGAGCATGGGTGCCCTATGAGAGGAAAGACTTCACCAGCTGGGTCCTGCCGTAGCTCCTGTAAGATATTTCATTTAAAAGTTATTGCCTGGTTGAATATATATGGGCTGTGTTTTGTAGGTTTGGCAGGCTGTAACTATTTAGTTATACATAGATATATATATCTATACATTTGTTTGTATTAGAGAGTGGTTTGCTGCTCAAATTTTCATTCATTATAGGGGTACTTTAGTTTTATCAAAATATTTGTATTTGTTTTTAAAGGATTTTATGAGCTTATAAATTTGAATACTGTAGTTTAAAAATGAATATATTTAAAGATAGAAAAAAAATAGAAGTAGATTGGTTGAAAGCAAATCTATAAATTATGTGGAGATTCTTGGTGGTTTTGGAACATTAACAATAAGTATTGTTGTTCTTATAATTATTGTTGTATGTACAAGAAATCTTTGAAATTTAGATACCCAGAAGAATTTGTAAATCAAAGTAAACATTTTACAAAGTTTCGTACTTTTTGAGCTACATACTCTCTGTAATCTTTTTTACATCGACCATTAGAGTTGAAATGTAATTTTTTGTAGAAATTATTCGGGGATAGCATTGATATGAAGTGCTTAAAACTTTGGACTTTGAAATTTAGAATTTTATATAGATGTTCACAGCCGTGCATTGTCTTTGAAGATGATTCTGTATACATAGCATAAATTTTTGCTTTTATTTTAATTACAGCAAGTGTGTCTTTAAATAATTTTATTTTTGTTTGCTAAAGTGCTTGGCATTAATGGTTCTAATCTATGCTGCTTTTAATCTGCTTTTCTTTGCATGTATTTTTTGTTTTGTTTTGTTTTTTGCTTTGTTTTTATTTTTATTTTTTTTACAGTTTGGAAATTCTTATCATATATTGCACATAATCATTCTGGGTACTTTTTATGTCTGCTTTTATGTTCTGTGTCATTGTCCTTGTTAAGTATCAGTGTGTTTGATTATCAGTCATAAATTTTTTATGTACAGAGAACAAACACCTGACATTTCATATTATGATTTAAGCTGTTAGTTTTTTTGTTTGTTTTTTTAGGTAAAACAGATCAACACAATTTTTTTTTGCCATTTTTGTGGTTGCTATATTTACTGAAAACATTTAGAACTTGACTCTTAGGAATTTTTTCGTGAAGCACTCTCATGCTGTTCATACCCTTTAATTTCTATAGCATGCTTGGGTCTTAGATTTTTCAGGCATGAAATTTTTAATTTTCTTTGCAATATTGTATTATAGCATTTATTATTCTTGAATTATTCAGTGTAGCTGAATGCTAGTCGAGTTTTAGTTATTCGTTGATGGAGTGTCATTAGCTAACATGTTTGCATTGTTTCTTTTCTCCCCTTGCCCAATCCGTCCTCCTTGCCCCTTTCCGCCACCTCATCCAAACCTGTATTTCTTGAAATTTAAACATTTTTATTTTAAACCTTACCAAATTACCCAATATCCTCAACACCCCACAACCTATCAACCTTACCAATGCCGCGCCACTCTGCGTTCTGCGTCGACCCTACCTTGGCCATAAAACCATGACAATTATTGGATCTGCCTGCCTTGGGGTATGAACCTAAACCCAAATAGCCAAGGGTCGCACCAACGTGGAGTTACGCGAGCAGTTCATCCTAGCGGAGGGCGTATCCCAGAGCATGACACCGTTCAAGTCCAAGCCTAGCCCCAACAGTTCTGTGTCAAGCCAGTCAGGCACTCCTGCCCAGCAGCGATCCCAGTCCCTGCCTAACGCTGGGCCCATTATCAAGGTCTGTTTTCGTTGCAGCCTTTAAACGAGAGAGTGCCCACAGTTCACTTCAGTAATGTATTTGTTCACTCTATTGTTTTGAAGATTTATTTTTCTAAGAGGATTCAAAATTGGAGAGTGAAGTGTGGTGCATTTATATAATTACCTCAGATCAGAGAGTTCTGTTATCATACTGTCCCTCAACATCCAGTCCTTAGCAAAGAGATGGCTAGTAAACCATCAAATTGGAAGGAAGGAATTCTTGATGTCTTCCAAGAGAATCAATTTTCAAAGAAAAATTTATTTTCCTTTTGAAATTCATAACACAAAATTGTGAACTGACAACATTTTTCCTGTACCATTTTTACATTTTGATAATTTCTTACGAAAGAAAAAAAATCTTGGAATGCACAGAAAATTTCTAAACTGATTGAATGGACTGACAACGGGGCAACCTGCAAAGCTTCTTATTTTGTTTTATTTTATTTGGTACTGCATGCCCAAGCATGGTTTAGTTCAATGATAAGAAGTTTTAAGAATGCCCTGCTTCTTAAACAGGTATGTAAACATTGCTAGTGTAGTTAGTGAGAAAGACAAACCACATTGTATTCATCTTTTAGTTTTGTTTTTTTGTTTTAAGTATGATTTTCTTTGCCGCTTTTTATTCAGTATTGATTGTATGAATTGTTTAATATGAATTTTATTTTATTTCAGAATCCATATCCCACTTCCTTTATCCTATCGTGAAGTCTTAGTCTTGGAAATCTTTGTTTGAGGCACATGATCTCAATTCTACTCTGTGCCTGTTAGTAAATTTCAGAGAAGCCTTTTCTTTTATACCATGATATTCGGATGCAATTTTTCCCTTTGTTTTTGGCAAACATTTTGATTTTTTATTAGCTCATGCTAGAGTTCTGTGTTGCTTTAAGTGAAGGTTCTTTGACACATCATAAAATGGGAATGATTAAGGATAAAGTTACATGAATTTATGAGTTCCTTAAAAATCCAGATAACTATAAATTTCATTTTATGAGAATGTAGCAGAAAGAGAAGCAAAATTGAGCCATTGTAATGTAAAAAATTGTGCTCGATTCAAATCAATGTATTCTACTAAAAGTCAGGCTTCTCCAGTTTTAATCACTATCCTCTCAATTACATATTGAATAGATTATTTGTTACAGCTCATTTCGTTATGGCTGAATTGATGCCCCTGTTTGAACAAATTCGGCAAAGTGAAAGCGAGGGTTCCCAAAGTGGTACTCTGTGCACAATACGTGTGGGGCACACTGTGGGTGCAGTATTCCACAGATCAGACTCGTCCACAAGCTCATCCATGGTAGGAGGCCAGCAGGCAGATGCGTGTGAAAACATAAGCTGTGCTAGTTTAACATTTTGTCCGTGTTGAGATGTAGGCCATGCTAGTTTGGTTCCAGATGCTCGTTTCTTTCATAGCCTGGATTGAACTCTTAGTCATACTGTTACGGGTGTTTCATTTTGGCTTGACATGAAATACTGCTACCATATTCACAGACATCATTCATAAAAATTTGACACTACATTATTTTAACATGTAAGCAAAATAGATACCCATGTATGTTGTATCAAGTAAAAGTCGTGTTTGAAAATGTGGCTTTTGTTGTATCTAAAAGTTGCATTTCCCGTAAAGTGTGTGCATTGTTTTCCTGCATCTCTTATTTGACATAGTACCAGATACACTAACACATTGGGAATGTGAAAGTTTTTAGTTTTGTCAGAGCAGTGAATTGAATTCCCTTTTAGTCCATCCATTAGTTTTTAAGCTTCAAACTCTGAACTGGCTTAAGGCCTAGAGTTTCTTCAGCTGTCAGCATGGCTGTACCTTTTTAATGTAAGTCAAAAGTGAACTTGTTTAGCCCGTGAACATAGGCATCAGGCACAGGTAAATTGTTTAGGCCGTAAGTTCAAACTGGTAGTGAGTTTATGGAGGGATTATCATAGATCTAATAATTTATGTCACCTGTATTAAGTGAATATTGAAGAGTGGAGACCTTTCATGTGGTTTGTCTTATCACACAAGCTCCTATTCCGGGATCCGAATCACTGTATGCTCAAATGATGGTGGCCTATCAACAAATGGTAAGTGTTTACAGTCTGTTCCAGTGACAATGTGAACTTCAGATAACTCAAGTTCAGGCTTCCTGTTATGCATTATATCTTTGTACAGTAGGACTTAAGTATTATGTCGTATCTTTTTAAGCTTCTTGTATGGTAAGGATTTTTTTTAATTTTTACTTTTTAGTATTACCTTGTAGTGTTTTAGATCTTTTTTTTTCTTTTTTTTTTTACTGAAAAAGAAGTGAAATTATATACTGAAATATATGCAGAATTTGTGCAAAGCTTGATATATATGTTTCTTATACATCTTTTCATTGGTACTCTTATTAATGAAATTTACCAACACATATGAAAGCATTATCCAACTGCCACTAGGTCCGAGAAAGAACAGCCAAGAGCTCAGCTATGGGCCGTGCGTCCTTCAGTGCTGGAACTCCAGATTCCTCATTTAGCGAAGAAGGAGGCACTTCCTCATTCCATCTCCATGGCGGCAAGCGCAAGGCTTCTGCCCCAGTCACATCCCGCTCATCTTATAATACCTCAGGTAGGTTGTCACAGTTTTATGATATGCAGAAAGGTGCTATTTTACTGCTATGTCCAGTTTTCATCCTTTTTGATACTATCATCATTTTATTTTATTAAAATATTTGAAGATGTATTCCCATTGTCCTAATGTTGATCACCCCTTCAGCTGACAGTCAACCAGGAAGCCGAGGAGGCAGCCGCCCTGCTTCTCGAGGACCTGGCTCTCGTCCTGGTTCTCGGCCTGGGTCTCGGCCACCAAGTCGTGCAGGCTCAGAGGTGTCCCTAGACTCCTATGATGGCGGCCGGACCCCCATGAGACGCACACCCTCATTTACAGGGCGAACACGCACACCATCTAGTCAGTCCTCTGGGGTTCAGCGGTCATCTTCCCTTAGAAAGGTGAGAAACTGAGTTTAAAGTATCTCTAGGTGTCTTATCTACTGAGCAAAAGCAGATGGTCACCAGCAACCATATGTGAATAGCTCAGGCTAAGTGCATAGAATGTTGAAGAGAAGATGGTTCTTCATTTCAGGATTTTCTTTGTCTTTTTTTATTACTTCTCAATGTAACTCAGAGTTTAATCTTCTTTTTATATCTAACAGTCAGGGGATGAATATTTTTCTGTTATTTTAGCATGGTTATATTAATGGTACATGCAACCTTGTCATGTTTGTGAGTTCAGTGGATTGAACCAATAATTTGCTTACTGAAGCAGTGAGCATTGCACACACCAAAAATGAAAAAGGAAAGGAAAGAGAAAAAAGGATTAATGGACCTTTGTTTATGGTAGAGTCAAGGATAAGTCAGCAATGTTATTGGTTCTGTCACATGTACCCACTAACTTCAGTTGTGTAAGAGTGAAAGTGTAGATTGTGAATTATGAAGTGTTTTTGGTATTTAGAATCCTTTGATCTTTATTAATCTCAAATGACAATTTCCTGAAATTGAAGGTTATTGAACCCAAATTTTCCATCATAACTATAATATTTAAAATTTCACTCTTCTCTTTAAAGTACTCATTAATGTGTAATTTAGTATTGAGATTTATTGAGGAAATTTGAATATTCCTGAAAATCTTGTAATTCATCATTAACAAAGATGTTCATATACATCTAACTAAAGAAACTTTTCAACAACTAACAATTACAACATAAACTTTTACAAAGTTTTGGTAAAACTTCCATTCTTATAAGGGAAAACTGGAATTGTAATATCTGAACTGGCCTTATTGGAATGCCATCCTAAAGTAATATTGTGGCTGTGGTTCTCCACTAACTTCTGGGCCCCCTCTTCTCTCCAGGCCTCAGCCCCTGTCAAGTCCTCTACAGGCACTGTCAATGGAACTGGGACACGTGCCATCTCTGTCTCATCTAGGTAAGGTTATTGTGTTGGGTTTATGCCAAATTACAAACTTATTCTTATCATACTAGCTTCAATTTCATACACACAAATATATATTTAAGTTATATATACATATCTATTTATATTATTATAGCTTGCTCTTACACTGTTCTGATTGAAACAGTAATAATAAGACTTATATATATCCAGATTTAATCAAAAGTATCAGGAAATTTAAGAAACATTAAAATGTTGCTGGTTCAGAATTATTATTTGTTATTTTAGACCTAAGGTTTCAAGTATACTATGTTTTGATCCTAACTCCTAATGATCATTTACATTTTAATATCACAAAGGATAATATAAGGAGTGATTGCATGTCTCATACCACTATATATAACCAATTAATGGAACCCTGTTATCCCATACGCTTTACTAACACCTTCAGTATAGCATGAAAAAAAAATCCATGTAAATCTTAACAGCTTATGAATCACATTACATCCATTGCTGGGATACTCCTGATACATGGTGTTATGAAAAAGTCAAACAAAGCTTCATTAAACATAAACTAACAGATCGCGGAGCATGACAAGGACACCGTCAGCATCGAGCATTCCTGTAGCTGTGGCATCCTCGTCCAGGTAACATATTGGCAAACAAACAACCACCATCATCTACCTTATTTGTCTATTGCTGAAATTACCAATCACATTTCCTTATACAGTCAAATACATAGACTTTTACATTTCTCATAAAATTATAATACTTTAATATATTACAGTTCTTTTTATTTCAAGAGTTAGTTATCAGAGGTTTAAATGAATTGTATAACTGTATAGCATGAATGTGTGAAGTAATATTCAGTTACTAATCACCAGAGTAATTGGAATGCCTCACCCTTACATCTAATCTATTGCACTATTTCTCAGTTTCAGCATTTCCTGTTTCAGGAGCTGAATGCTGAAGAATATACAGTACATGTATTAGTTACAAACATATTACTCTCGGTTAACTTAGTTGCATCATGGGGTTATAGCCTTGGTGCAGGGTTCTTTCCTTTACAGGTTTTCTTTCCTTGGATGGTAATTGTAATACCTGAGGTTAATCAGGTTTGTATTGTATTTACACAGAATGAGAAGCTATGGATGGGATGTCAAAATGAAATATGAGAAATTAAGAAAATGTTTAAGCTCATTGAGCATGAATAATTAAGGAGCAGGGAAAATTAATCTTGACTTCCCAGAAGTAGTTTTTTTTTCCATTTTCTAACTCATTTCTCAATTCCTATCAGTTGCTTGAATGCATGGGGTGACACAGGAACATAAACACATTTATCTGCAATGCTGTTGATGATGTAGTGTAACATTTGTTGTACTGAACTAATTTTTCCCTCCAGGTTATATTCACCGACTCTGTCCAGTCGATTGAAAGAGGCAGGAATTAGGTAAATGATAATACTGTGGCATGAATAGCTTAGTTTGGTCCTTTCCTTGTATTGTGGAAACCTTGTCCCACGTGTGCCATTCACTTCTCTCATGAACAGTGATTTCAACCCTGCCAAAATCCTCTGCCCAAAAACCTTAGACTCCTATATTGGTTATACCTGTACATTGTGGTAAAAAGCAATTGAATCCAGGCATGTACTGAAGCCCGACCTACTACCTCTCCTTGACTCTCAATGACACTAATCACTCTGTTGGAAAATACTAATCAGGTTTTGATAGTTTCCAATAAAAATGATACATAATCCTTGTTCATGGCTCACAATTGCAGAAGTTATTGCATAGTTGTTGCTCTGCTTAGAATAATTAGTTTTATGGTTTATACCACCTGCAATTACTTTGCAATTGTTGTGATAATTTAGTCGTGAATTTCTTAGTTATTTTGCATGTTATTTTTACTGGTTTGGGGCCTCCAGTACCTTCTGCAAAATAAAGATATTTGGGTCTGTCTTTTATCCAAATGCAGTGTTAAATTGCCCTTGTTTATAAAGATGTTTATAAAAAGATTTTGCTTGGATAGAAAAATAAAGCTTTGGCTGTTCATAAAAGGAAGGTAAAACAAAGAAGCTTACAAAAGGGGTGCTATCTTTAACTCAAATTTAGAGCTAGTCAGAATTCATTGGATACAGCATTGGGTGGCTGATTGAAAAAGAAATGCATCTGAGTTTTTAGAGGAGTGGATACTGCTTTTTTTACTTTAATGCAGAATCTGTATACCACTGGTGTGACAGTGACACTAAATACTGCTGGGTGAAAATTGTCCTGGTTTTAAGACCTAATGTTCACGGGTCTCTTTTTCTCTAGGACCAAAATCCCGGTTCTTGTGGGTGCTGCCTCTGATTGGGAACGGTAAACTAGTGTGGTGTTCTAAGCAGTTCAGTGTGGTCTTGCTTCAATTCTTTGTTTTTTTTTATGTATGGTATTGTTGAAGACAGTATTTTATTGAATGTAAGATTGGATTGTGTTTTTTTCTATTATGAAAAGCTAAGGAAACTGATATATGAATTTGGAAATGATAATTATCAAGTTCTGCTATGGATAACTGATATTAACAAGGCCTTTTATGTGAATCATTATTCATGTTTCATTTACAGATAGATAGACAATTTACTGATTATTACATTAATTAACAATTTCTGTATAGCTAATGTGAAGTTTTGTAGTGAATTCAAAATCAATTTTGAGATGACAAAAAAATGATGAACTATTGTTACCCATTTTTAGTTTTACATCAGTTTAAGACTGTCTTTTACAAACCATTTATTGTTTTTATTTTATTTTGGGGCTCTTGAAACGCATTTACCTTGTCAGAGTACTTGCTTGAAATGCGTTTGTTATGTTTTGTACATTAGCTTTTTTCGATTTTGGAATGATGGTATGTTGCATGGATACTTTTGTATTTGCACATATTTATGCACTTTTTTGTGTTTTTATGGTTTTATTTTTGCAGACATGTTTATATATTAGGCATTTTTGTGGATGAAATTTATATTCTTAGGAAATTTCAATTGATTTATCGAAAATAAAGCTGCTCATGTTAATTGTACCTTTTTTTGAGTTGGCTCAATATATTGTTTTAATTTTTAACATGTAATCTGTGATATTAGTATGATAGATATAAGTGTCTGTTAGATGATCATTAAGAGCAGTGCTGTGTTGTTGCATGACTTACCAATAGCTTCATTAGTGCCAAATCCTGTAAAAGAGCAAGTAATTTTTGGCCTTTTTATTTATTTTTTGTTTGTTTTGGTAGTAAGCAGGTCATTCTCATGAAAAAGTTCCTTTCTGTTTTTGTTTTTTATTTTATTTTGCATAGGTTTTATGTTTTATTTGGGTTTTTGTTTTGAAAATTATTAATCTAAGTGTAGTTTAGGTGATACTAACTATGTTTTAACTTTCTATATTGTCATATTTTTCTAAAATGGTCAGATTGATGCCTAAATATTTAAATAAAGATGAGTGAACTTTTACATGAACTGACTATGAACTGCCTTGATATTTGAAGCTTTACCAAACAGTTACAGTCATGAGGAATCACTTGTAAAGAAGAAACAATAATAATTGTAACCACTATATTAATTTAGCAAGAATGATTCCTAGTATGACATTAAGCTCACATATTGGTTAAGGAGTAAGAGTACTCCAACTCCGTAATTTTGTGGTGATGGCCATTTCTTGACTCCCCAGGACTAACCTATCTGGCTCCACATCTAACCTGAATGTTGCGGGAACACCCTTAAGGTAAACAGGTGCCCTCCCCTGGCTGCCAATGTGCATTTTGTTATTGCTAAACTTGTGTTACCTTAAGCAGATGAAGAGGATAGGTAAAGTTTGCTTGTGTGTTGAACACATTAATAAAACATTGTTTCAAAACAGGTTTGCAAAGATTTTAGTCAGAGCATTGTGTAGGTGTTGGACATATACATAAAACATGAATGAAATTAGTCTGATATTATTTAGTTGGATTAGAGAGAGTAATAGTTTGTATGCATTCATTCATTAGTGAATATAGTAACATCTCATGTTCATTTAGCTACTCCTAATAAAAAATTTACTCTAGCTAACATATTTAGTTATTTCAGATAGTAATAGACATTATAGTATATTATTAACAGTGTCCTAACTATTAGGTGAAGGTACATAATGTCTGAATAATTTCTACAGGTCCCGAACTTCATCAACTACTAGTCTTAACTCCAATCATTCCACAAGCAAAATTCCAACACTGAGGTAACTAACCTGGGTTGTAGTGATATGATAGAGGCATGGGTGGAAGTCCATGAATAACAAGTTGTGTTGGCAGTCTTTTTAGAGTCCCTTTTGATTGATGTATTGCCCTTTTTTATTTTACTAATTGATTGATTTTTGTGCAGTCAGTGATTAATAGTGTTTTAACTATTGCATGTATCTTGTGATTCCTAAATGTAATTTTTACTGTTCCTTTGTTTAGTTTAGCTGATTCTTGACATGATTTACATTTGATTTGAAAGTAGCCTTTGACCTTCACTCCTTTTTTTTTCTAACAACAAATGAAACTTTAGAAAAAGTGAAGAACAAAGTTTATTTTCCTATTACTTTAGTACCTTTTACTGTGATAATTTTCTTGTGTAACTCGTAACTGTAATATGCTTTTAATAACTATTACAGACACAAAGTGTCCACCACACAAAGCACCACTCCCAAGACCTCCACTACTACAAGGTAATAATATGGGATGTAAAATGCCAATAATGGCATTTTTAGGGACATGTTAATCTTGAAAATGAGTGTGGATATGCAGAAATACATATATTACATTTATTTATTTATGGGCAAGTTCCTGATTGATGCTAGTGTATGACATGTATTTGGTGAAGCATTGTATTGTCTTAATGGTTTTCAGATTAATTGATTGAAAGGTGTGATTGGAAACTATATCTTTCCTTTATTATATTATTTTCTTAGTGATTGTTTTTACTTCTCTATAGAATTTTGATGACTGATTTTCTTTTGGATAGAAAGTTAATTTTATGCTGATTCACACTTTACCCCCTGCATGTCAAAAGCTAATTCCGATAACAAAAGTAGTATCATACAAAGAATTCTTCATATTAACTTTATAATCTAATTTCTCCCCTGACTCCCATTTTCATTTGCAGAGAAAGTTCTTTAGGAAAGACAAACAGGGTTGATTCATGAAATTCAAACACAAATAAACACTAATTCCATTCCACAGGACTCGGAATCCTTCAGGTTCCAGCAGCACAGGTGGAACTACTAGGATTGCCCGCAAATCCTCTGCTGCTTCAGACACGCCTACCGGGATAGCAAGGAAAACGGGCATCGCAGAGCCAAGACGCAAGTTGTAGGAAATTAAATGGCAAAATTATATAATGTTGTGCTAGGGCCCAATGAAAGTTGTAAAGAAAATTTACATGGTACCCTGTACAGTTTATATTAAAACACATAGATGTATGACAGTTACAAGTGATAAAATTGTAAATGTGTTACATGTTGCCACATTTTTTGTGGCACATTATGATATATAATTGATCATATTTTCTTTTGGAAAAAGCTTTAAATAGACAACATTGTAATGATTAGAGATCTCTGAAATTATTTGATTGGCATTTTTCTAATTGAAATATTTGACTTCTGGTTGGATTTAGATCCATATAATTTCTATGGAATATTCATCTTTTGAATTTGCTAGCAAATGTGATATCATGACAGGGCAAATCCTGTTGCCTGATAATAGGACTGGATTTGGTTAATGTTAATATATGGTAGAAATCTCGGTATCAAGTTCTATTTTATATTAATAATGCCTGATCTAGCCCTACAAAGTGATATGTTTAGGGTAGTGCAAGCCCATTTTGAGAGTTCTCAGCCATTCCACTCAACATATCGTGCTTGCTTTTGAAAAGGTTGTTTATTGTGTAAAGTCTCCAAGACATTGTTGCTTGATTTTATTTTATTTTTGTTTATTTTCACCTTTGTGGCATACAATTCAGAATTTTCAACTTCAAATATTTTCTTGGTGACAATGCAAGTCAATAATTGTCTTCATCAATTCTTATGTCATACTATGTTACATTCTATTAGAATTTTTTTTCTTTCTTTCTTTTTTTATGCTCCGCCCACTTGAACCAGTGTTTAAGAAGACCTCAGTTACAAGTGTATTGTCTCATTTCCCTGATTCATAGTCTAAGGCTGTTCTCATGTACTCACCATTAACGCTTCATACCTAACTTGCCTATGTGCGTATCAAGCAAGCCTATGTGGGGTATTACAGGTTGCCAAAATGCCACGTCTTGCAAGGAATATATGTTGATTTGCAACTTGGAGTTCAGCAGGAGTTTAATGGTGCTTTATAGTCATATAGAATTTATACTAAGCAATATTGGTACTTGAAATTATGTTAAAATGCGCCTCAATGGTTTATTGTCTGTGCTACTAATAAAGTGCAAATGTGATGAGAACAGTAATTTTGAGTCTCGGATAGTATATCATTTTATTGTGATTCCTAATTGTTAATAGGAAAAGATTCTTGTAGCACTATCTAAGTTACACGACAGCTGATCTCATGACAAAATGTTGGAAAAAAAAAAAATCGTTCCTGGAACAGCAAAGCGAAGATGGAACGGACTCAGAAAGCTATGTCAAACTTACATGACATTAGGTGTGGCTCTGGGAAAAAAAATATTGACCGTAAGTAGAGGATGCAAATGCTGCAGGCTGGTTCCGGGTTATAATGGAGGCAAAATACCATCTCATGCCTCTATTTGGTCTTGTAACATTTGCATCATTTACTTAGTGGTCTTGGTGTCATTTTTTTTTCTTCCTCTTCTGTTACCTAACTCTTTAACAGATTTTTAATTAGGCTAAATTTCCAAATGTTGTCTTTTGTGTTTTTGTTGTATTGTTTGTATAAACCTTAGCTTTCATGCTTTGTTATAAGTTGTAAATAATATAATAATATAGTAAGCCCATTGAAAGATTGAATTATGGGGCACAAAATAAATTTCACAGTGAGTAACAAAAATATGGTAAGATGTACTAAAGTCCTTTTGGTTGAATATACTGTACTTGACCAATCATCATAGAATATTTTTTGTATTTAAATTGCTTATGATTATACTAATGCTTCGATAATAAATGAGTAACGAGATAGAGGTTTGTTTTATGCCACTTAATACTTATATTTCCATGGGAGTTGATGGCCAGTGGACATTATTAATTCTCTAGTATGAAAGGCTGCAAGTAGAGGTAATTGAGAAATATCCCAAGGTGCAAATTAAAGAAAAGCATGAAAAATCATATAGTGCTTTATATCTATTTAAAGATGAGAGAAAAAGTTATGCAAAGGCAAAAAGGTGGGATATGGGAAAGTACTAATTCAATTAATTCCTATAAACAGGAAACCCATAAGGCAAAAAATTATCCATTTAAAAGGGGTTTACAGTGTAATATATAAGATGTGCTACCTCTCTGTAATCAACAAATTACACAAGGTGCCTGGTAGATAAACAATAAATTGAAAGGAGGATAGTTTTTGGGGACTACAAGCTCTAAATTTTCAGCAAAATATATATAGAAAGGTGTGAATTACCAAAATCTTCAAAATAGTTAGTATTATTTTTTAAATAATGAAATATTTGAAGGTAGTGGAAGTTATACCAGCAATAGTGTCTCTGTGTACACAAGATCGAGGACTGCCCAGCAGACTATTTCTAAATTCTGGGAAAAGCTTAAGAGAGTCCTCATACACATGGGTGCTAGTGTCTAACAGTTATCTTTTCATATCCATTATTTAGGCAGATGCTGTATCTGGCGCTCTCATCCAACCACAGGCACAGGCACACTCTTGGGTTACCCATAAATTTTTCCTAAACTAACGGGCATTAAGCAAATATCGGGCAGTGCTTGATTGTGTGGACGGGGCTCCCACTAAAGGTCTGTTCATACTTGTGGGCATATACCTGTAAAGGTGACATCACAAAATGGGAAAACAACTGGGAAACTACAACTCTTTACTGAGTAATCTGTCCGTCTGTCATGTCCTTTCTACCTGCCTTTGCATCTGTTGATCGTACTACCTTGTGTGAACAGGCCTCACATCCCCATCCATATGAGGGGCAATCCCACTCAGGCACAGACATTTAAGGTAAGTATAAGTACAAATATATATACACTTACTTTGCTCATGACTTCCATGATCGAAAGGTGCCCAGCGGAATTTGCCTGTTTATCCAACAAAGCCTGTCTGTTGTACACGGCAGTGCTGGGGTCTGGCAGGGTCGTCCATCAGGCAGACAGCAGCATCTGGTGATTTTGCTTGACCACAGGCACAGCAAAAAACAAGCTGGTTTGCCTGTGTGCTTTGCTTGAATAGTTAACTTTAAGAAAGATTCACACTAATGTTGTGAGAACATGTTTACACAAGATTTCTACCATTCCCGGGTTATTTTGTATAAGAAACAATTAGGGAGTGAAAACAGAATGGCTTAACAATATTCCCCCAGCTATTGCTTTTTTATCCCCCACAGAGTCCAAAATATAGATTTTCATAAATTACCTCAATTGCGGAAACGTCAGTATTCACTGGTGGTTTTCTGTATAGTAGACAAATTTCGGTAATTTAGCAGCTCTGCTGAGGTCTCAGCCTGTTAGTACCTTGAATTGGTAACTTTGTTCACCCATGGAGATGTTACCTCTCATTTGGATGGGGCCTAAAGCCGTGTTGACATCAAGTGAATTGATTCAATTCTGTTCATGAAGAATCATCTTAGTTCATGAGTTGTCTTTACTCACCATGTTAATTCCTATGTGACCATTCACACCAAATGAATCAATTCGATTCAAATCGGTAAATAAAAGTCAGTGTTTTGTGCAGGCCCATTTTTCATCAGTTACTGCAATTCCATTAAGAAATACCGGTCATCGTGATAAATTTATTGAGAGAATTACTTGCTATATATGATCCTTAAAATATACAATAACCCATGAATGATTCTTATAGCAAACAACACCCAAAAAATAATCATCATAATACATAACAGCGTTTATACTATTCTTAAAATATATAATAGTCTGTATAATTCTTATAATATGCAACGACCTATGTATGATTTTTACTGTAGTACTTATGACCACAATACTTGTATTTGAACATCATTCAGAAGTGTAATAAGGAATGAAAATTATACAGGCACACACATCATCCCCTCTCCTCCTATTTCATCCTTTCCTCTCTCTGTCTGTCTGTCTCCCCCCCACCCCGTCTCTCTGTCTCTTTTATAGTTACTGGTATCAGAAGTTCAAAGAAAAGCTTTTACACAATGTCTATTTGAAGAACTTTATGAGATAAGATACATATTAGCTAAATATTTGAACTGAATTATGGATGTTGTTTCATCTATTTCAACAGGATTTACAAGCCCGTTCCACAAAATACTGTATCTTTAAAACTTTAAAAAAATCATGTAGATGATGCGTTTGCTTCATGGTCACCTTGAAGAACACTAAGGCTGGCGACATCTCTGCGGCGCTCAAGACTGTCAAGGCGTCCTTCGTTTTGTCCGTAGATGATTTTGTTCTCTGGATGGCGTCAAGTAACTTGAGATGAAGATTCTGGTGTTCCTCTCCAGGTGTGAAGGCAAATTCCATCAGTGACCTTACTTGCGTCTTGTATAACAACAGGAGTGCATCCTGACCGACGAGTTCTTTCTCTCTTCGCAGCACCGACGCCTTCTTGAAGTATTTACTGCTAAGGTTTTAAAGTGGATAGCATCTTATCAAAAGTAACCCCTAGGATGTGCAGGGAATCCTTTTCTGTTGTTTCTTGTCTGTTAAGGTACAGCTTAGGAGTGTGACTGGATGATCGAGTGATCGTACACCCCAGCGTCTTATTTGCTGCTATTGTGATTTGCCACAATGTACTCCAGTAGCTAATAGAATCAAGTGTTCTTTGTAATGTAATTGCTGCCGCCTGACACTCGGAACGGTTAAATGAGATACAGTGTTATATCATCTGCATATGCAATTGTCTCAGGTACTGCTGCATCCAAGAGGTCATTTACATATATCCCCCCCCCCAAGGCCTAAGAATACTCCCTTGAGGAATACCTGCACGAATGAGATATTTTGTAGATTCTTGGCCATGCATAGCAACCACCAGGCTTCGGTCTGTCAGATAGTTTTAGAAGAGCACCATCATTGCCGAAAGATTTCAGCTTGGCCAGCAGACCCTTATTCCACACAGTTGAATGCTCCGAAAATGTCCAGTGCTATAGCTTTGGTATCCAGGTTTTTGTCGAGTTTTGTTCCACTTGTAGGATAAGATTAGCCGATCAAAGGACGAAAAACCTTTACGAAATCCGAACTGTCGGTCCGATAATAACCTGTTGTGCTGCAAATGTTCTTTGAGGTGATCTCCCAGAACTTTTTCCATAATCTTACTGATCACAGATAGCAGTGTTGCTGGCCTATTGTTTTTCACCTCCGTTTTCGGCCCTCGTTTGTGGATTGGTGTTATATGTCCTATTTTCCATGAGGAAGACCAAATACCATGTACCATGCACTCAGTGAACAGGTATGTCAAAGGGCTTGCAGGCTTTTCAGAGCAATGTTAAAGGAGGGGATTGATTTCATCTGGCCCTGGAGTTTTTGATGATTCCAGGGATTTTAATGAAGTTTTCAATATCTGTGTAGTGAATATAAGGTCGTAGAGCTTATCCTGCGTCCTTAGAGGAAGGATAAACTCGTGTTTGTTGGGTTTATCAACATTCACATGGCAAAATGAATTGCCAACAGCTCAAGTTTATCTTGCAGTCGACTTGCTGTTTTACCTTCTGCTTGATTTAGAGGTGGTATCAAGTCTGATATTCCACCACTGGCTGGGATAAAGCGTAGTTTGTGTTGTAGTTCCTCCTTCCATTTTGATTTAGCCTAAGCGGCTGTGTCACCCATTTTCTTGCATGCACTTTTGTGAAGCTGGATGTTCCTCTCTGATCTGTTATTTTTGAGACGCTTCCAGGTTCGGTATTTTTATTCAGCAGATGTTCTTCACTGCAAACCGAACCAAGGAAGATCGGAAGGTCTTATCAGGAATGTACGAGAAGGCACCCATTTCTTTTGACACGTGATTATGTGTCAAGAGCTGCTATCTGATCATCAATGCTCCCCGCAAGTAAACTTGACCAATCTGTTTGTTTGAGGTCTTGTTTGAGTGAGGGCCAATCTGTCTTCTTCCATTACCACGATGTTTTCGGTTATGGCTGCTCTTTTTCGACATTTTAGGAGAGAGTTGTTTTAATGGCGGTGTGGTCAGATGTGCCTACAAACCTCAGTGGTTCACAGACCACCAGACTAGTGAAATCTGTGAGCACAGGGTCGAGTGAAGAGCCGCTGGAATGCCTTGGAAAAGGCACGTGGTTTTTCAATCCTAGAAGCATATCGAAAGCCCCCTGAATAAGATACTGATTCATATCACCTGCAATTATTAAATTGCAACAGTTGTATGTAGCGAGGAGCTCATCTAAGTTGTTAATTAAGTAATCGATAGGTTCTTTCCCATGCCGGCGAGATCGTTAACTAGTTATATGCAGTATGCTGTATGTAGCAAAAAAAAAAAAAAAAAAAAAAAAAAAAAAAAAAAAAAAAAAAAAAAAAAAAAAAAATGTGATCATGGATCTCTGGGGTTAACTGCTGTACTTGCAGTGAGGTGTGATGGCATACTGCAACTCCTCCAAATTTCCCTGTTGAGCGGTCTGGTCGGAACCAGGGGCAGTATCCTTTAACTTTGGCGTAGTTATGTGGAACACTGTCATCAAGTAATGGCTCGGTTGCAATGACGAGAGTTGCCTTGCTCTTTATAATTCATTAAGTGTGTCAGCTCTCCTACGTTCGTTCGGAATTCTCTAAGGTTGGCTGAAATCACAACAAGCGTAGATGCCGCACCCTGAACCATTTTAAAAAGTACTTTTAAAATGAGATGTTAGAAGTAAAGGATCCGTTGTAGGATATTCGGATGCCCTGGATATATCACAGTCTGTTGAGGAAGCCACCGATGGGGATATGTGGCCGTTGTGTGATGTCTTTGGAGCTGGGAAAATAATTTTTGGGTAGCTGTGTGTATCAGATATATTACAGGATCGTCAGTGCCTGACAAC